GGCCAAATTTCATACCCGACCCAGAAGCGGGAGACGAAGCAGCTTATGCCGAGGATCCAGATCTCCCCCGATACTCACAGACTGGGCTGCAAATCCTCGGTCTCGTCACCGCAGTCCACGGGAACGCAGGCAACGCTCTTCCTAAAGAGCCTGCGACAGTTCAGCAGGCTCTGGGGGGGGAACACAGGGAGAAATGGCGTGAAGCCATGGACAGGGAATTAAAGGCATTGGAGGAACGCAACACCTGGATGGTCGTTCCCGCAAGCGTGGCAAGGAACAAGACCATTCTCACCGGGAAATGGGTCTTCCGCATCAAAACGAAAGCTGACGGCACAATCGAGAAGTTCAAAGCACGCTGGGTCGTGCGTGGATTCGACCAGGAGCAAGGACGAGACTTCACCGAGACTTTCGCCCCAGTTAGTCGACATACCTCTCTCCGAATTCTTCTCGCCGTCGCCGCCATGAAGAAGAAGAAGCTGCGACAGATCGATGTCGCCAACGCATTCCTCTACGCACCCGTCGACGCCGAAATCTTCGTCGAACTCCCACACGGCACTCACGGAAATCCTAATCAGATCTGCCAGCTACTGAAATCGCTCTACGGAATCAAACAAGCCCCGCGACTGTGGCAACAGCACCTACACACCCGCCTCACACGCATCGGTTTCCGCCAACTGCCTCACGACCAAGGAATGTATCGATTCACCAAAGGCGCATACTACATTCTACTAATCGTCTACGTCGACGACCTACTCTACATCGGCTCCACCGACGACGTCACTACCTGGTTCGAAGGGGAGCTGCAGAAGGACCTCACGCTCACCGTCTCTTCTACCGTGACCCAGTACATCGGGCTCAACATCCGCGAAGAGGAAAATGCTATCTACCTCAGCGCCGAGAAATACGCCGACACTATCGCCAAGCGCTTCTCGCTCACACCTACCGCTATCGCCACGCCATACCGCCACACGGCATGAAGTGACAAAGGGAATTCCGCTCCACTCAAAGCCGCCGGAATACGAGACTACCAGAGGAAACTGGGCTGCCTCCTCTTTGCAGCCGTCACCTGTCGCCCGGATCTATCCTACTCCGCAAGCCAACTCGCCACCTACCTCAAGAAACCCGAAGCAGAGCACATGGCGGAGCTCGATCGCGCACTACACTACTTCGTGAGCACACCGACGATCGGCCTGACTTACCACAAGGGCGAAGCTACAACGACGAAGCTAATCGGCTACGTCGATGCTGACCATGCCGGCGATTCTGATAACAGGCGCTCTCGCACTGGCTACGTCTATCGTCTCGAGCCTATCGGACCTATCTCCTGGCAGTCGAGTAAGCAGGAACTAATCGCTCTCTCTTCAGCTGAAGCAGAATATATCGCCCTCTGTTCAGCCACCAAGGAAGGACTCTACCTTCGCGAGCTGCTGGAAGAAGCAAAGTTAGCTGAGTTACCCAACTTCACCGTGTTCTGCGACAACCAATCTGCAATTCGCATCGCCAACAAAAGCGGATTCGCGAACAGAACGAAGCATATCGCTCTACGATACTTCTTCGTGAAGGACGAGATCGAGAAAGGGAAACTCGAATTATCCTACTGTCCCACGTCCGAGATGGCAGCCGATTATTTGACCAAGAAACTCGGAAAACAGAAGTTCGAGTACTGCATGCTGTTGAGATAGCAGCGAGAGTTAGGCGCCATAACTAGGAGAACCCTAGCTAGGCAAGAAAGTTTAGGCAAAAGAGGGGCTTCACTAGAAAGCAGCAGGATACATATAGGGAACCCTAAGGGGTTGTACTCGCTATAGAGTACCCCACTGCAGGCTAGAGAACAATAACATTCTGACACATGCTGCTGACTGGACAAGGCCACGTCACCATCAGCGACACTCCAGAAGCGAAGGGGAGTGTTGGGAACAATAAGTCTTAAGCGCCTCTGTCGTGTCGAAACTCAGGACACTAGCGAAGAAGTCCGAATCGAAGCACCGCGAGTCAACCCTCGGAGGTTAGGGTAACCGCCTGGAGGTTACGCGAAGGTCAAAGGTCAGCGACCTTTGACTTGACAAATACAGCGCGACAGCAAGGACACACAACTGACTCGACATTGAGCAGTTGCCCGAGTCGCACTGTATCGAATCGCAACAGTAAAACGGTTTTAATTTATCTATTCGTATTCCTTGTACTCTTATATAAACCTTTGTATTTGCTTGTTTAATTAACTTACTTTGCCCTCACATACTAGCGCAAGGTGGTTCAAGTACTTTCATTCAAACGCTTCCGCTATTACAATCCTACTCAGACTTTAAGCTCTACAAAGATCCTAGGGCTACTCAGCCCAACAAGATCTTCTATGAGGTTGGCCCAAGACACACAGCTCTAAGCCTCGGGTTTTATACCATACCGTACTAGTGCTCTGGTGTTGAAAGTGCTGAAAGATGGATCAAATGAGTTGAGCGAGGGGAGGGAGCCAGGGGGGGAACATGGAATTGGACAGCACTATTTGCTTGCTCTTATCCCAGAAGCTAAACAATGCTAATTCGAATTGATTGACTCCAAACCAAACTGGGTCATTTGATATCAACAGTGGCCAGTATTGGAGTATCCTGTTTGCCTCCCCTGTACAGCTTCCTGTTTGCGCCTCAACTCCTCCCTCCGCTGCCTGACCCCTTACTGTAAGTAGATACGTGCATGTTACCCTGCACAAATAAGTTTCCTCCCTTGGCGGCCTGCGCACCATGCCACCGCTTGAATCAACTCAGGGAGGCTGCTAAAAGCAGAAACCGATTGCAGCGTCTGTGGCTGCTTGCAAGAAACCGATTGGTCCTGGTTGCAACTTCCATTTGGTGGCACAGGACCCAATTTGGAGCAATGGCCTGCAACTTCCCTTCATTCCACCACCAACCAAGGAGGCTCAACAGCTGCTCAGGCATTCCCAGAATGTGACGGCTGGACATTGCCACTTCTATTACAGCCGGAACTCTTCCACTTCCGTCCGCAGCAGCAGTGTTTCTGCTGCTCACCTTTCGACATTCAGCGACCGTAGAGCATGATGCCCAGGTACCATGCACCACAAGAGCCAAGCGGAAGGGGGAGCTGCTAAGAAAGCGAACAGAAAGAGGGGAACAAGCAACAAGGAAAGTAAGAGCGACGAGTTTGGTAGAGGGGAAAGAGGCAGCAAGAAGAGGGGAGTTGCCCAGTGGGGATGTGGAGGAGAGAGCGATGCCTGCCTGTGTGTGTTGCACATGGTAGCGCGGTTGGAGACCCATTGTGGTAGTGGCGGTTGGGGAGATGGGTGGAGTGGGTGGGCGGGCGAGGGAAGGTTGGCATTAGAAAAGCAAGGGTTCTTATTCGAGCATAAACAACAAATTGCGGGCGTACACAAGCTTTCGCCGGTCGTCAACTGCCTGGTTGTGGATGGGGCAGGCTGTAGATGTTTGGGGGTCGCAAACGACCGGCCGGTGCGAAGGGTGGTGCAGACAGTAGCGCGACTCGGAGCGAAGGCTAATAGCACTGCCGAAGGTTCCGCGAGATGCACCACGGGAGTGGACAGTTTGACCCCGCACCACATAAGCTGGCGGGTGGGTCTCTGTTATCCATTCCAGCATGCGAAGTCCCTCGGATACGCGATTGCGGCACCTGTGGTGCCTCTCTCATTGTTTGTGGAAGAACACTTAACCCTACGTGTAAGCCCCATGGCAGTGGACAGACGGGTAACTCCGCTCGCAATGAAGGTCGGACAGAGCGTAACTCGACGTGATGTATAAAAATTGCCTCACGACTACTGCCGCACTCCGTGCTGCTGCATCATGACGATTCACTGGCAGGTGCCACTGACGTGCAGCGGTAGCGTCTGCCACTTTGCGACAGACATTTGTCTATCCTGCGACAGGTGTGTGGGCCTTCATTATCCATTCCAGCATACGGATACTCGATCGCGGCGCCTATCAAATTTTAGTGCGTCATCACTAATCGCCATATGTGTTTTTCCGCGCAGAGCCAAACGAAAAACATCCCTAGCGAGAGCGCCCACATGCAAGCCGAAAGCAAGGCAGAGGAAATCGCCACGCCGAATGAATGGTTGGACAGAAATGGAAGTTGAAGTGATGCTGGTACCAGCTTGAAATGGCCGACTTTTGTGAACCAAATGGTGGCGAGCTCTTCGCAAAGGATGACCGTTTGCGAAGAAATCGTGCATTCTGTTCTGAAAACTGCACGAACCGTTTCGCAACAGAACCCTCCCCTAGCTGTAACCAGAACGCGAATTGGCCACTGGTCAGATGCTCTTGTATGCTCTTGTATGCTCTTGGCGAATTGGTCAGATCCCCTAACTGCATGTGCGAACCTCGTATTCGGTCGCACCGCGGCAGCGCCGATCGTCAACCACTTCTTGATGCGACGAATCTGCTTCGATTTCCCGCAAGCGACCTGCCTATGCGACGCCCGATGGGTCGCAATAGCGTCGTCGTCGGTCACCGTCTTCCCCGTCATTGTGATTGTGAATCATATGGCCCACCCAAGATATGCCTTGCCACCACCACAGGGATTGCCGCGCTCCCACGAATCTGCATTTTCACTTTCGTCGATCCCCCTTCCCACCTCCGCATCCCCTGTCATCACTGCCGATCATACCATCGCCTTCCTCAATAATTCTAGACCTAAACTGTATGTGTTCCCCCAAAGTACTACTTGAACCTCGCCTGTCAGCGTCTGCTCGTGAACTTTTTCACCCAACTACAGGTTTCGTTTCACCACAAAAAGGAAGTGGTGGACGTAGCGGCTTATGACGTGCTAGGATAGAATAAGACCGCGAAGCGACCTTTGCGGTGATAATAAGGCCCGCTGAACTTGCTCCTGTCGATGAGCACCATTTGCATTTCCCGTGTTTCCGCCACCGGCTCGATCCTAACAATCTTCCCGATTCTTCATACGACCACTTTCCGCCAGATTTTCTTATAATCGTGCTGGTGAACTGCTCAAAATCCTGCCAACCGTCCCGCCTCATGCCTCTCGAGACGACACTCGACGTCGTCCATGCGACGTCGGCGTCGTCGCACGGGGAAGCGCGTGCTTCCTCGCGTCCTGGGCCGAAGGCTCCACGGGGACGATGGCGGATTGCCGTTGGTCTTTGGCGCGTCATTGCCGCGGTGCCTCACGCGGTCTTGGCGGTGCTTCAGCGGGTGCGCGGGGGAATGGCGAGCGGGAAGGCTCGGCGCGCATTGACGAGGCGTGTGATGCGGCAGATGGTGGTGGTGCACGAGGAGGAGACGGAGGTGGTGCTGGAAGCATTCTGCTCCTTCTTCTTCGTACGCCCGCCTCCCTCCCATTCCTCCTCGCGCTGCGTGCACCGCCCCTACTCGCGCCCCGTTGACGGCGCCGGGTTCCTCGTTTCTGATCGCCGCGTATGCTACTACCATTCAGTCTTTTCATTCTTCAATCCTTCCTCTCTACGCCGCAATTGCTCCCCTGGGTCCCATCCCACCCTATCCCATCCCATCCCGTCTCCCATCCCATCCCATCCCGTGCCATTTCCCCCACGCGCAGCTGCTAGCGGCATACTTCGTGTGCCAGCCGCTGCGCGACGAGGCGGCCATGAGTCTGGGCACGGGCGCGCTGCCAGGGCTCTTCCTCGCCTCGCTCGCCTCCACCGTCGCCGCTGCTCCGCTGTCGTCCGCACTACTCTCGCGCACGGACATCAGCAAGGGGCAGGTGCGCACAGCGTGCAGTTGAGAGCACCGGAGCAGAAGAGCATCTCAGAATGTGAACGTACACGTCTCGCCTTCCTGCTCGCGTCCTTCCTCCCTGTTCACACATGCATGCACATGCAGCGCATGTCCCGTCCCTTCAGAGCCACCCTCTGCTCAACACCAGCTCTAGTCCCCTGCACTTCCCAAACCCAACCCAAACCCCGCCCCCTCTTTTCCCCTACCTCCCCCCGTGTGTTGGCAGGCCCTGCTGCTGCTGTACCGTTTCTTCTCGCTCTGCCTCCTCGGCTTCTTCTTCCTCTACCTCCTCGTGCCACCACCTGCCACTCTCCCTGCTCTGCCCACGGTAATTTCTTCCCATGCCCACTCCATCCGTACACGCCCATGGACCCAGGCACACACCCTAGCCAAGCACAAGAATGCACGCTCTCCCACAGCTGCACACGGCACCCCCGTTCCATGCCAGCATATCCTCCCACCGCGCCCTCCGTTCCCCAACCACTGCGCATCTCACCCGCCCCCCTGTGCCCATGGCCGCAGCTACCCGACGAGCTGGTGGGGGAGGGAGGGCACGCAGTGCAGGCGGCAGTGTACCCCGATGCTGCTGGCCAGCTCGCTGTCTTCGCTGACGTGTCTCTGCCCTTCCTCGCTGTCCGAGCCGGCCTCTTCCTCTTCGTGAGCCTCATCCCCCACTCGTGCTCTCGCTGCTCGCCCCCTTGCTTACTCATGCCACGCCTCTCGCTATCGCCTCGCCCACTTCCTCACCACTGCCAGTCGTTTTCTCACTGTGTCTGTGCACGCTTTCTCCCTATCAACCTGCACCTCCATGCATCACCCCCATGCATCACCCCCATGCATCACCCCCATGCATCACCCCCATGCATCACCCCCATGCATCACCCCGATGCATCACCCCCATGCATCACCCCCATGCTTCACCCCCATGCATCACCCCCATGCATCACCCCCACGCATCACCCCCATGCATCACCCCCACGCATCACCCCCACGCATCACCCCCATGCATCACCCCCATGCATCACCCCCACGCATCACCCCCACGCATCACCCCCATGCATCACCCCCATGCATCACCCCCATCCCATGCATCACCTCCATCAACGGAAGGCAGACTGCGTCCTCGTCTCTCCCCTTTCCTTCCTCATCCCGCTCACAGGTGGCGCTGCTGAATCTGTTCGCCATAGCTGCCATGTGGGCTCGCCTTGCCGATGTCATGACCAGTGAGGTGCGCGCTGCTCACACCCTTGCACGCCCTCACACGTCCTTGAACGCCTTCACATGCCCTCACACTCGTTGTTCACATGCCATCATCTCGCTCCAGCTGCGCCTATCCCACATGAGCCGTCTGTCCCGACGCTGCTCCCCCTGATCCATCGGGCCACCGTGCCGTGCCAGTCAAGTCCATCATCACCCCCCGGCTTACCACCTTTTCACCGCTTCTTTCCTCCTGCTCCAACCACTGCTCGCGGTGTGTGCAGGCGGGGGCGCGTTTGTTCGGGTTCATAGGCGCGGGTGCCACGTTCGGCCAGCTCGCAGGCTCGCTGCTCGCCTCCTCGCTCGCTGCTCTGGGGCCCTGTGAGTGAGGGGCGGTGGTGCGGTGGAAAGTGCGTGAGGTGGGTGGGTAGGGTCGTGGATGCTTGGGAGGGCGTGGCAGAGAGGAGTGCTTGTTATAGGCACCATGGGAGCAGCACTGCATCTCATGCATTTCCTGCACCAACCGCACCACCCGCACCAACCGCACCAACCGCACCACCCGCATCAACTCACACAACACACAAGACACAGCATCACCATTCACCTTCTCTCCCCACCCCACCCTGCCCACCATGCCGTGCAGACCTGCTCATCCTGTCAGCCGTGCTCATGGAGGTGGCAGCGCGCTGCTCCACACTCATAGACGACGGCTCCACGCTGCCCCACGGCATGCACTCACACCCGACCGACTCTCCTGCGTGTACGCATGGGGACATGCCGGAGGAGGGGCACGGGCACGGATGGTGCTCCCATGCGCGCCCACGCAAGGGCAAGGGCGTGCCCTTGCTGAACCACACTGCCGTCGCCGTTGCTGCTCCTTCACCTCTCCGCCCGTCCGCCACCGCCCCCCTGTTCCTATCCTCCTCCTCTTCCTCTGGGGCCCACTCTGCTTCTGGCTGCTCCTACTGCTCGCACCAACCTCTGTACCCCCCCACAGCCATCGCTGCTGCGCCCTCCCCCTCTCCTCCCCTCCTTACTCCCGCAGCAGACACACCTTCCCAACCGCTCCTCACCCCTCCAGTCCCTACAAAAGCTGATTTCTTCCCCTCCCCCTTCCTCCCCCTCCCCCCTCCGGCCCAACCCTCTCCGGTTCCCCCTTCCGCGCCCTGTCTGCTGCATGCGCGCATGGGAGAAAATGAAGGGACAGAGAAGGGCGGAGGGGGCGGACTAGGGGCATGTCGGTTGCATGAGAGGGGGATGGTGGGTGGAGGAGAGGAGGGGACGAAAGGTGGGGAAGCAATGTGTATTCGCCTTGGCTGTGTCTCTCAGGATCAAGAGGCACCGTTTGAGTTCACGCAAATGCTCCCTCACGCAGCCGGAGAGGAAAAGGCTGTAGAATTCGGGGGGCCGAGGGTGAAGGGAGGAGGTGGGGGAGAGGGAAGGGAAGAAGAAGTGGCGTTGCAAGGCTCCATACGGCGCCCAGAGGAGCAGTTGAAAGCGGGTGATGGATGGAGACGGGGAGGAGGGGTTGGGGAGGGAGGGAGTGGGGGGAGAGACGATAGGGGGAGCCAGGAGGACGATTGTGCAGGGGAGAGAAGGGCGGGTGCAGTGCTGCGGTCTGCTGTGTCCTGGCCCCAGAGCCTGGCAGAAGCTGCTGCCGCCGAGGGGCGAGGGGAGGAGGGAGCGTGTGCACGGAATGGCGGGAAGGGGCAGAGGCGAGGAGGACGAGGAGTGGGGAATACAGTGGGCAGAGAGTTTGAGTTGGAAAGAGCTGCGGATAGCGTTGCAAGGTCTTCTGGGCTGGCTGAAGACAGAGGCAGGGATGCAGCAGTGACGATTGCAAGAGGAAATGATAGAGGTGCAGTGACAGGGGGAGCAGCAGGGGCAATGAAAATTGAGAGAGGGGAACTGGTTTGGAGGAGGCGGGGTGAACGATTGGGTGGGCTGGGTACAGGGGAGGAGGATGGGGTGGGGGAAATGCTTGGTAGAGGGGAGAGTGGCAGTGGTCTGTCCAATGTTGCTGTTTTTCGAAGCACAAGTGGTGGTGCGGCTGTGCCCATTACATTGGATGCAGGAGTATCTATTGGGCTTGCAGTGCAACAGAAGCACCTGAAAGGCCTCCTGAAAGGGCACCTGGGAGGAGACACGGGGGTGCAGGCAGGAGGGCAAGCAGCACGAGAAGGGTACGGACTACTCATGCACTCTATGTCCACGCAGCAAGAGCATGTGGACCGTGGTCAAGGCAGTGGCAAACGCTCCTCTCTGGCAGAGGGAGCAGTGGGAGCAGCAGCAACAGCAGCAGCAGCAGCAGCAGAGGCAGAAGCAGCCTTGGATATGGGCAATTCCCCTAGCAAGCTGAAGCCGAGACCGCTGTGGCAGTGGCAGTGGGTGCGCTTGCAGGCTCTGTGGCAAGGGACAGGGAAACAGGAAAGAGCAGAGCAGGGTGGGCGAGGGGCATGTGGAGGAGCAGCAGATCGGGACTTGCGGCTGGCAGGAAATGAGGGCCGTGGAGGTGGCGAGGAGAGTCGGCCATTGCGGGCGTGCCACTCACTGCCGTGCAGAACAGCAGGTGGGGCAGAGGTGCAGAGAGGCGCAGGGGGGTGTGTGCAGGGAGGAGGGGGAAAGGGAATGGGGGATGCAGCTGTGTGCCACAGGTGCATGGGTGCTGTGAGAGGGCAGATGGGGGAGGCGAGAGGCGCAGGGGAAGCAGTGTTGCAGGAGGAAGGGAGAGGAGAAGCGTGTGAGGCGATGGCACAAGGGTGGGCGGTACTTGCCGAGGGGCCAGGCAAGAATGGCTTATCCAGTGATGGCTTGTCGGGCCTCCTGTGTGCACACTGTCATTCCCAAGAACCCCCAGTAGCACCAGTACCAGCAGCGGCAGCAGCACTAGCACAGCGACATGTTGATTGGTGCGGGGCGGATAGCAATGGGCAGAGCAGTGCAGGGAATGGTGGCGATATGGCTGAGCGGTGGTACCGTGTGGGAGGAGAGCGCGGACCAGGGGCAGCAATGCCTGCAAGCCATGGTGGCCTTGGATGCAGGGGCAGCAGCGCGGGCAGGGCGAGCAGCAGGGGCACACGGCAGAGTGGGGGGTTGAGGGAGGTGGTGGCAGGAGTGAGGCTGGTGCTGTCATCATCGTACCTGCTGCATGTGTGCGCCTTCCTCATGCTCACGGCTGTCGTCTCCTCCTTCTTCTACTTCGAGGTATATCGCCTCACTGCTGTATGGCACGCTTCAGTTACCAATGCTGCCAGTCACCAATGCTCCCCTCCCAGTCACCAGGCTGCCATGTTCCTTGCGTTGCGTTACACCCTCGTGTCGTCTCTCCCGTCGTCTGCTCCCGCTAACTCCTTGTGCCACTTGTCCCCATGGCATGGCATGGCGTGGAACAGAGGTCGTCAGTGGTGGCGACATCGGTGGTGGATCCAGTGCAGCGGCGCAAGGCCATAGCCAACATCAACTCGCTCTCTGCTGTCGCCACAGTCGTCTTCCAGCTCACTCTCACGGTATCCCTACATGCATGCCCCTTATATCCTTCAAATGCATCCTCCTTGTCCATGCCTTACCCTCACCTCGTCTTGTCTAACTGACCCTGGCGATTAGAATGGCCCCATCATGTCACACCATATGTACCTCTCCAAATAACCCCATGATTTGAGCCTAATGGTCTAGACATGTCGTATGTTTCAGAGAATTCGTTTCTCCTTACTCCCTGTTGCGTGAACCCCTTCAGGGTCGCCTGCTGACAACGTTTGGGGTGGCAGCAGCGCTGGCAGCATCGCCAGTGGCAGCACTGATAGGCATGGCGGCCATTGCATGGCATCCCACACCCCTTGTAGTCGCTGGCTCTGAAGCCCTGCGCAAGGTAACGTGCCTGCATTGGCGGCACTTGGAAGTTCACAGTTATTCCCCTTCTCACCTCCCTTCGTCAACCCCCACTCTCTCTCCCTCTCCTTCTCCCCATCTTTCACTCGTACTATCCTAATGTTCCTCCCCGGTCTCACTCTTAAGACTTTGCCTTACCCACCACCTCCGTATCTGGGACCCTGGTTGCTCGTGCAGGTGGTGACATATGTGTTGACACGGCCCAGTCGGGAGATTCTGTTCACCGTGGTGACACGCGAGGAGAAGTACAAGGCCAAGGTGCGCCATGCACACGCATTCACAGCATGTTCACCCCACCACACACACACACCCATGCGCACAAACATCCGCATGCACACACGCATGCTCACCACCCTGCACACACATGTTGATCTCAAGCACATGCTGATCTCAAGCACATGCTGGACTAATGCATCCACCCAACCCTGCCCTCTTGTCCATCCGCTCTTCCCCTCGGCCTTTCTCACTGCACATTTATCCTTTCCCCCCACCGCTGTGCCCCCCTCGGCCTTTCCCACCGCACATATATCCTTTCCCCCCACCGCCGTGCCCCATCGTCCCATGGTCCAATCACCGCAGGTCACAATAGACACGGTGGTGCAGCGCCTGGGCGATGCAGCAGCAGCGGGCTTCTTTCGCCTGCTGGGAGGGGTGTTCCTCCTGGGGCCCTCTGGCGTTGCCACCTACACTGTGCCGGTAACTGCCCCTCGCCACCTCACTCACTCTCCCCTCCCTCCTGCTCCCCCTCTCCCTCTCGCCCATCCCACCTCCATACCCGGAGCCTGACTTTTGAACCACTCGCACATCAGGTTCTCTCGCACTCTGTCTGCCATTCTTCCTCGTCTCTTCCCTTCGCTACACACCCTCACCCTGCCTTCACGTGCTCCACAATCCCTCCCCGTCTCTCTGTGTGTGTGGTGTGCAGCTGTGTGTGCTGTGGTGTGGGCTTGCAGTCACCCTAGGCCTGCGGCAGCAAGCCATGGCGCGCATGCAGCAGGGAGGGGGCCCAGCAGCTCCCAAACATGCACAAGGCCTCTGATTCGGAAGCTCAGGCAGGATAAGTGAAGTTGAGATAAGAAAGCATGCTAGCAGAATGTACATGGGTGTTGTCGTCTTGGCTCAGCAGGCCTGGCTGAAATGTATATTCAGGTGTGTGTTTGCTTTGGTATATGGCATCCTGTCTTGCTCTCCACTGTCAAGTGCAGTAACCTTATCCAGCTGAATGCAGCAACACGAGCATACCCTGTTCAAGTGTTCACTCTGCAATAAGGCTTGAAGGCGCTAACAATTATCTTAAGTGAAAAGACAAATCGATGGTTATCAGCAATCTAACTAATACTTTGTTCACTAATGATACACTACTTCATTACACAAAAATTCCACTAACTACTGAAGGCCAACTATTGTGTGTCAACACAACAAACCTCTAAACACCACTTCACCAACGCACCACCTGAAACACACATGCCCTGCATGCTCATCAACCCACAACATGGCACCCCCTCCTGCCGCAACCACATCACTGCTCCTCCTCTTAATACCGGTCTCCGAAGTAGCAGGCAACGTCTGTCCTCCCCGACAGCCCATCCCTGGCTATCTCCACGCGCATGAGCCCAAACTGTGCCCCCACACCGCACGACCACCCGCCGCCGGGCTTGACAAAGAGCGCAGAGGGGTTGCCGGGGACAGCGGCCGAGGAGGCGAGGTCGGAGGCCCAGTCGAGGAAGGAGTAGAGGTGCAGCGCTCGCAGGGGCACACGTACCTCCGTGCTCAGCTGCAGATGCAAGTGGCAAGGGGGACGCAGAGTGGGCGGAAGGGAGGTGGGGGAGAGGAGGGGGGGGAGCAAAGCAACGGGGGGGTGTGGGCCAAAGCGGTGAGGGAGGCGGGTGCATGGAGGTGCACAGGTCTCCTAGGTTATGTTGATGATTGGATTGGGAATATTGTGGTGAGAAAGAGGAGGGGCGGGGTGGGAACAGGCAGGGGAAAGCAGAGGAAGCAGGGCAGGGTGAAGGCAGCATGGAACAGCCACTGTGCAGGTCGGCCATGGCACCTGCATCCATGCCGCAGCCAACACGCACCTCAAGGAATCGCCTGCACGTGGCGAGCTCTCCATGCTCAAAGCCCCGCACTGAGTGCGCTCCCCCCAGCTGAAACGCGTCCACCGCCGCCAGGTCGCCCACACACGCACCATGCCGCGCGTGCAGCACCAGCGTGCACGGCGCTGAGCGTGCAGGCGGGGGTGGGCGGCGCCGCAGACGCAGTTCCCGCGCGGGCGAGGGGAAGAGAGCGTAGTAGACGGTTTCGAGGGGGAGGAAGCGTGTGCAGGAGATGGTGTAGCGGTTGAAGAAGGGGAGGGAGGTGAAGGGCAGCAGTGCCTGCTCCACGTGGAAGATATCCCGCGCGCCCACTTGCGTGCCGTGCACGCGCCGGGTGGCGTCTCTTGTCACGACATGCTGTAGTGTGAGTTGGTGGTCGACACCATGTCCACTCACACTCGTCTCCACACTGCCTAACCCCCCTTTCCGCATGCCACCGCTGCTGTTATTGCTCCCAGTCCCCTGGTTATTAACACCACCGTCACAAGTTGCTGCAGCAGGGAGAGATGAGGCAGCAGAGGAGGTGGTAAGTGGAGCCATTCCCCCAGCAGCGGCAGCGACGGCAGCAGCAGCAGTGGTGGCGGGCGGGGCAGCGAGGGAGTGGCGGAAGGGTGAGACGCGCGGCACAATGGCGGCGTTCTCATCGCGCACACACACCTCCTGGAACACCAGCGCCGTGCTGCTGCTGCTCTGCCTCGTCACCTCCTGTTATGCACCAGAGATGGCAAAGTGGGGGGGAGGTGGTGTGCGGTTGGGGGGGTTGAGGGGAAAGTGTTGGAAGGAAGGAGGAGCCAAGAAAATGAGAACAAATGAAGTCATGCCTCATGACACCAGATAACACAGCACCCATGCATAAAGCGGTGCATCTCCCTCCCACCCCCTCAAATGCCCTCCCGTTTTGGCGGCCTCACAGGCGCACCTCGGTGAGAGAGACCTTCCCCCCTGTTCGGTCCACCCAGAGCGGCCCCACGTCGAGGGCGAGGGCGAGTGGTGCGGTGGGGCCCTGGAAGGCCAGCGCGGACGACAGGCGCCGCGAGTTGAACAGCGCAGCCCTCAGCGTGCGCGGATTGCGCGGAGGGGGGTTGTGTGTGGTGGCGGTGGTGGTGCGGGAGGGAGAGGTGGAGGATGGGGAGGAGAGCGCGTGGTGTGGCGGGGGGGGGACGCCGTGGAGGAAGGGATGGATGTACTCTAGCTTGAGCGAGAGGTCGTCCTGGGAAGGGTGCGCGGGGGTGAGTAAGAGGCGGGAGGGGTGGAAGGAGGGATGGAGGATTTAGGTGTCAGGGTGTCAGGGAGAAAAAAGGAAAGGTCATCGGGTTTAGGGAGGAGGGGAGAAGGAGATGGGGGGGAAGAGGAGGGCGATATGAGAGAGTGAAGTGTGGGAGAGAGAGAGAGTGCAGTGCACCTGGGGGTACATGATGTTGTGAGTGGAGACGTCCAGGTACAGCGAGCGGTTCATGCCTCCCAACCCATGCTGCTCCACGTGCACTCGACACCCAGGAAAGATGGAATCCTGTGCACATGGCGGTCAGACATGGCGCATGGCGCCAGCCAGGAGATGTTAGAGCTATGGGGCATATGGCATGTTGCTTATGGCATGTGGCATGCCGCATGTTGTGTGTGGCATGCAATGTGGTGCGTGTCCTGTATGAAAAGGGAACTCATATTGGCAGGGCCAAGTGCCGCAAGAAAGTCGATTTTTCTATGGCATGGCATGGCACGGCACACCACACATCCCACCGAGGCATATCAGCATTAGGGCAGCAGCAGGCAGTACCAGGCGTGGGAACCACCCGTTGGGCGGCACGGCGAAGTGCCAGTCAGCGTCAGCGGTGGCGGCGGCCATGAGTCGCTCGCGAACCTCCACATCCACCACCACTCCCCCGTGCTGCCCTCTCGTTTCGTCCGGGCGCAGATGCACCTGCACCGACTCAAACAGCGACAGCCGGTACAGCGCCCGCACCACCTCGCGCCCCAGCCGTGCGTTGTACACCACCCCTGGCCGCAGCTGAAGAGGGGAGGAGAAGAGGAGAGAAGGGAGGAAAGACTTGGTCGTGGTCTGGTTGTTATGGGAAAGAGAGCCTGGGCTGTGAGTGGAGCCGAGTTCACTTGTTACATGTCTTGCGAGGACCTGCTCTGTTCTGATTTGATGCACACAGTGGGAATAAGCGAGGGGGGGCAATGGGTGCGTGTGGGGTCCACAGCATGGCACATACGCGCGCGCACTTACCTACCTCCGTGGGCAGCACGTGGTGCAGCAGTGCCAGTGACGTGCGGCCCTTGACAGTGTTGCCTGCCGTGTCCACGAACCGCACCTGCACGCGCGTCACATCCCCCTCCACCACATGGCACACCACCTCGCCCCCGCCCCCCTTCCCCCCTTCCACCCCCGCTCCCCCTTTCCCTGGCGGCATGAAGCTTCGCACGCGGGCCAGGACATATCCCTTCTTTGCATACCACTCCTCTATCCTCGCTGCTAGCTGCTGCAGTAGCGGCTGGGAGAGCGAGGGGCCCTGGCGGGACAGCCATCTCGACAGCTCCCGCTCCTCGCTCTCAGGTAACAGGCACTTTTTCGCTGCCGCTGCTGACCGTCCTCCTCCTGCCTCTCCCCCACCCACCCCCTCCTGTGCAGACACGCCCACGTTGACGCATTTCGCAATAGTAGCTGGGGGGTAGTGCATGTCTTTAACAGTGAGCTGCAGGTAGGTCCACCCGGAGCGCTGCGGGCGACAGGAGACTTCGGCATGGGAGAACCATCCGAGGCTGAGCAGGTGCTGCACCGCGTCTTCCACGTCCCTTCGCACGAACACGTCGCCTGGCTGCACTGCAAACGCGTCGTACACGTCAGCTGAGGGCGGCAGCGGGTGGCCGGATTCGTCCTGTACGGTGAGCTCGAGGCAGCGGTAGGTGCGCGAGGTGCTGAGGCGCGCGAGCGGGATGAGGGACGCAGAGGCGGACGCGAAAGGGGAGAGGAGCGCGAGGAGGGGGACTAATAGGAGGGGGAGCAGGAGTGAGGCGCGATGGCGGTGGCGGGAGAACGGGGAGGAGGGGAGAGTGTGCAGTCGGAGTAATTGTGATGCATGTGCGATGAGGGTAAATATGCAGCTTGGAAAGCGTTCAATGAGTGCGGCTAATGAGGTGTGTAGGGTCGACAGCCCACATGACAGCATTGCTGATGCGTCCTCGAGTATAGCAGTCAGCGACAGAAGAATACGCCGCAACAAATTAGTCCTTTCCTCCCCTTCGTCTTTTCCCTCATCTGACCCCTCTCCTCCTCCCCCACTTCCTCCTCCGCTCCCCCCGCCATTCCCTTCTCCGCTTCCCCCAACCCCTCCTCTTCCTCCCGCTGCCTCTGTGAGCACGCTCCGCAAATTCCGCCTTATCCTTCCGCCTTCCGCTTTTCTCTGAACGTTTCTCGCCAGCCAAGCTCCACCGAGAGGGCTAAGAGAGGCGGACAAGGCATGCGCATGAGTGCGACTGCGCAGCGCAATTGAAGAGCGTGTCAGAGGCACCGCGCTCGGAAATTGGCGGGATACGCGTCCCGGCGATAGAGCATGCATCCATGCCCTCGCTGATGCGCCATGGATGCTTTCGAGCGCGACGGCCATGACCGCGGTACAAATTACAACCAGAGGCGACCCTTCGACATGATCAGAGGTGCCCGATTGCCAGATTAATTAGTTCAACCCGCATTTTTCAAAATCGCAGCTAATTTATAGCCGACACATTCGCAATGCTGATAGGATGCGTTGCGATTCGAGCAAAGCGAGAACTGTTGTAGCTCGAAACTGACTCTGCGCTTGGATCTCTTTCTTGGGCAGTGAATGGCTGGTCGCCGCTGCAAGGAGCTCGCCTCATCCACACTAAAAGATGACTCCAGTTTGATTTCCATAAGGTTGTTTGCCTACACCAGAATATTCTAAAACGATACTAGTATGGTCAGGACATTTTTAGGGGCCATCCAAGCCATCTGGCGAACCAGCCTCGCCAATATGGAAAATTTTTCTGGAGCATGTTACGAGCTTTTAAAGATACAATGGGCCACTGGCTAGTCTTCATACAACCGTATAGTGAAAAGGTTAGATTAGAACGGAGATCAAAATCTGTCAAACCTGGGGAAAACTAAGGTGATAAATATATTGCTATCTAGCGATGATCTTACAAGAGCCTTCTAACCCGTATGGAAATGTAGTTGTAGGACTTCAGCTGACATGTCGGTGGAGGGAAATATCAGTTCTATCACGGGTGAAAAGATTTCGAGGGCCATTGCGGACGTGGACCCCAAACTCCCTATATCTCAGGAGTCGGAGGGATGTTCCAGCTCAGGCCGCGTCCTTGCCCTTACCCAAATCCTCCTCACCACACCCTCAGCGGAATTCACCGAATGCTCGTCTTCTTCTGCATTCCTCCCCACAACGCGCCGATGCTCATGCAAGGCAGGTGGAAAGCGAGGTCCCTTCCTCTACCATGGGCATCTTTCTTCCCCCATAGTCAGCACAGAAAGCACATTTTCTTGGGGCAAGCGGTGCCACATTGGGGAATGTGCGGACCACGTGGCAATCTGATGCCTCCTCGAATTTGGTCCGCGCCGCTGCCCTCTGTTCGCCCAGCCAGCCAGGCAGCAGAGGTGGCGTCTGACCAAGAGGAGGCGAACTTGGAATGATGATGAGAAGCAGAAGCTGCTGAGACAGCGAATGCAGCGGGTGCTCAGAAGTCAGGGAGAACAACATGCATGAATGTTTCCTGCTGTGGTCCCTGGATATAAAGTTAGCATCCATCGGAGATTTTGCAACCTTAGCCTGTTGTTGTCTTTCCTAGTCTGTTGGATCCTAATCTTGCTTCCTAGCTCTTTCACGTCTCTTGCTCTCAGTAGTCAAATTCTAAACGGTTTGAACATTTCCCGACAGCAGACCTGTGCCATGGGTTCCGAGCCAGTTGTCCGAAAGTTTGAGAAGGAATCGATGCTGGAAATCCTGCGTCATATTCCCGCTCCTGTGGTCATCATCACTGCAGCATATGGTGATGCCAACGACGACGACTTGCAAGTTAGAGGAATGACATGCAGCAGCTTCACAAGGTGCGGATTCATCATCAATTGGCTTGCTTGCCGCTCTCCGCTTCGTATCTTGCGTGTCTTGATAAGGACTACATTGCAATTGTGATTTTTACCAATACCGTGACTGACTCCATCAGCGCTGTGAAGAAAGCACTGACATTATTTCACCATGATGCTTGTGATGTCTCTACGGGTTGTCGTCATACACGGTTACACTTCAGGCGGTTGCATTTCCGCACATGAGTAGATTCACGGGATTTTCGGGAGTTTTTATCCGCGTTGATTCTGCTTTGTTTTCTGTACTACTGGCTCCTTCCTCGTTCATGCCTCTTCGCCCTGTTTCACTTCCTCACTTGCCTCTTAGTCACGAAAACGAACAAATTGGTATCTGCACAGCTCGCATTCGTCCCCATTTCCTTCTTGTTCCCTGTTCTTTCAGCGTATCTTTGGAGCCGCCGTTTATCTCGGTGTGCTTGCGCAAGAACTCTCTCATGATGCAGGTCTGACCCTTGAAACCTCTGGAAGAAAGCTAACAGTTCCCTTTCTGACGTTACAATTATCGTCTGGGGAACCTCGCGGCAAGCCTTACATTGGACCTGCTCTGTGTGCAGGTGCTGGAGAAGTCGACTGGATTCGGCGTGCATCTGTTGAATGAAGAGAACAAGCAGAAGGCCGGTGACTTTGCTAAGCCTGTGAGCAGTGCGCTTCCTGTACACGGAAGGTTCACTTCTCTGCGTCTGGCCCCGTGTTCTAATGTTAAATCCCGGTACTTACCAAGATCGTTCTACCGTTGAGGTTTTGACCTGTCTTGAAGTCGTTGATATCACCTTTGGCTCTTCACAACGTAGCAGTTTGTGACTGTTTAGGGCCACTCACCGAAGACTCAATCCTGCCACTCTTTTCTGTCCTTGTGGATTTGGTCGGAAATGGTTTTGTTGGTATGTGAGGGTTGATCGCAGCATGACACAGGGAAAGGACCTTTCAATGAGTAAGTCCTTCCTTCCCTCGGGCTTTAGTGCACTTGCACACGCTACTCGACCCCAATGCTCAGGAACCTTACTCTAGCCCAGATTCCATACAAGCAATCTCTTGATTCAACTTCCAGAAAAAATATTGTATGGTTTTCCATTCCGCCCCAAGTCTCCTGTCCTCATCTCTTCCGCTTCTTGTTCAAAAGGGCTGCAGGTAAATGGGAACTAGTGTCACTCCGCGACTACATGAGTGAAGTACCTCCGAACCACCCTGAGGGGCAGCAGGATCCTGACGCGGTCAAGGGTGTGCCAGTGTTGCAAGAGAGTATGGCAGCACTTGTTTGCTACCGCAAAATGAGCTTTGATGCGGGCGACCACATCATCCTTGTTGGAGAGGTGAGCTTCTTCTGCTATTTCATTTGAGTGGTTGCAGAGCATTTTACATGAGAGCATGGTCATGCCAAAAGCATACACTCTTCATCTTGCTAATTGGATCACTTGCATATTTCACTTTCCGAATCTGCAGGTGGTGGCCACTAGTGCGCATGATTTTCATCCCCTCATTTACATGAACCGTCACTACCACCAACTTGGTCATGAGGTGTAATAACGACGACTCGGTTTTACAACTAGCCTGAATGGCTCACCTGGCTGTTACAACTTCATACGCGTCTCAGTGGATACCCATGGGCCATTTCTACAGAGCAATGTGTTTTATCTTGTGGTTTTCTAGGGGCACACACGAACCAGTTGGTGTTTGTCAAGTGATAGCACATCCTGCTTGCATAGATGGTTGAGGTAATGTAATCATGATGGAGTTAGAATAGTTGTAGCATGGGCTTATGGTACTTGTGAAAACCTAAAATAATTGACAGTGTATCGGAGTCAACTTTACTGAAGACGGCGTCGCAGCGCCCACCCAGGACTACCTCCGCCAACACACACACGTCAGTTCTTCTCCCTTGCTCCCCACAAAGCATTGCCCATGCACCCATGACGCGTTGACCATTCTGGAAGTGGCCATGCATCTCTGTGCACGTGCTCATTTCGGAAGCGAAAATGGTTTTGCTCCTATTTTGAAGTGGTTTTTCATGAAATTGAAGTGGTGATTCGTGCACGTCCTATTCCGTTCTTGTACAGGCGCGTCGCTTGCGCAACTGATTCTGATGGCGGAAGCGCAGGAGCAACAACCACTAGAGATGGAGCAGCAGGAGCAACAGCGGGAGGAGGAGGAGGTGGGGAAGGAGCGGGAGGTGGGCGTGGAAGTCGACATGACCGCGCCCGTGACGGCGTGGGACATCGAGCGCGCAGGAGGGCTAGGGGCGCGGGATGACATCGCGTCTCCGCTGCCCGTGGCCATGGACGCTACGGACCTCGAGGAATCTATCAACGCCGAGCTTTATCCGGAACTCGCAGGTGCTGACGTGGCGCGTGGTGGGATAGTTCTTGTAAATCCAAGCGGACACACAAATCGTGTTATTGATGCTTCCCGTTTTCCAGACTCAGTTTTTGCCCAGAGGCAAGCCTGGTAGGGTGTTTGCCACCATGGTTCGCTGACAACTTATTTGCTGTCCCCTAACATACCTAAGTCCCACCTCTTCACGCAGACCCTCAGATGGCTCGTCACATCCGGTCGATCTGGCCCAAAAATATCTCCTTTGACTGTAATCCTTCATGTGTTGCCACACGTGGCGCATGGCAGAGAGCGAGGAGGAGGCACGCATGGGCAGCACAGATCCCTTAGCCCCAGCAATCCATGTGGGTGGCTCGTTCGATGCTGCTGCCGCTGCTGACCCGGAGGAGGCAAGGCGACAGCTGGAGAGCAGATTTGTACACGGGGGGCAGGGTGGAGTGTAGGGAGGGGAGGGAGGAGGGGGAACAGCGTGATTGGAGGGGAGGGAGGAGGGGGGACAGAGTGAGTGGAGGGGAGGGGACAGAGTGAGTGGAGGAGAGGGAGGAGGGGGGACTGAGTGAGTGGAGGAGAGGGCCGGGTGCAGTCAGGGTGAACTGGTTGACATTATACATCATCCAGGAGCAACAATTGCTGAGGGCGTGGGCAGGGTTCATGCATACGTCTAGGTTCAGCTGTGGCATATAGTTTTGTAGTTGTGCAGCTGGTTTGCATGTAGCCTGCTGACTAGGGTCCGGATTACGCCATGTGTTCTGTGGATGTCAAGCTGATACTAGTTGGCACTTGCACTAGCTCTTGCTTGATACCGTACCTGCACTTGGTATATTTTCTCATTGGCCCAAGCTTGTGCAATGCTACATCTGACGAAGCGTTTTGACTAGCCCTACATGTATACCAGCTGCATCTACCATGCGTGCAGACAGTGATAGCGCATGGCACGGTATGGACAAAAATGAAATTCAAGACGCGTGTCCATCACACGTGTGGCGAACATGCTAGTGGGTGAGTCGCAGCTGGCACTGCTGCACCACAGCCGAGAACTGCTGTAGGTCACCTGCATCCCATGCCACCATGCCATGCCACCATACCATGCCATGCCATGCCAGAGGGGAACCACCAGAACTGTTAGAAGGCAAACAATGTTCACAATCATGAGTCAAGCACCCAATTCCCTCATCTTGTGTCGCCAATCCCCATCTTCCACCTTTCCTTAGCAAAGAAGCAAGCAACCAAATCAAACCCCCTTAAAAACAAGCAACCACCCAGAAAAGGGCAACCAACAGCCCATAGATACCAACAATCCCCCAACCCCTTCGTCCCACGCCCACCACCTGCGCGAGAGGGGTATGGCAAGCAGTATGGCTGTCACGGCATGGCAGGCAGTGCAGGTTACCTGGTGTCAATTGCTTTGAGCTGCCGCTTGCTGCTCTTCCCGCTGCTGCACTTGCTGTGGCAGTGACGGTGACAGCACCAGGTGCGTGCTGTAAGAGCTGGTGCAGCAGCAGAGTTGGGCGGGGATGGGATGAGATGGGATGCGATGAGATGGTTGGGACAGGATGGAATGAGGTGTGATAAGGTGTGATGGACGAGGGTAAAGTACGATGGGAGTAACGCAAGTTTCGCGGCTCAATGTCACACAAAGCTGGGAGCAGGGAGCCCAGGAGAGAGAGACAGAAAGAGGTTGCAAAAAGAGGAAAAGAAGAGGCAGACGATTTAGAACATAGAAGGCAACCTGGAAGGTGACGTGCACTGCTTGTGCTGCTGGTTCTGCTGCTGCACTCTGTGCTTGCTCCGCTGCTGCTGCACGTCCCACTCCTGGCCCGCCCCCATCTCCATCTCCTGCTCCCTGTGCTGCCAGCGTACCCTGTATGCCAGGGCAGGGGGTGTATCAAACAATGCAGTGGGAAGGGTTGAGGAGGTGGTATGAGACTCGCACTTGTTTCACTTGAGTTTGGCATGAAAACAATGCTGGGAAAGAGAATATATCGGCTTCAGCAAAGAGAGAGATAAGGATAAAGGGAACAGGGATGGAAGCATGTGTGGAGGAGATAAGGAGCGGGTGGAGGGGGGGGACTGGGGAGGTAAGGGCGATAAAGGAGAGAACAGAGGGAAACAAAAATCTAAGAGCACAATGTACTGAAGAGCAGCATTAACATCTGCACACTGCATGAGCCACCGCTGCTATGCTGCAGGAAAAGGGACGGGGAAATTGCAGGGCAAATTAGAACTGTCTCGCATGGCACAGTGGCATCCATACGGATTTCATGACAGTACGTACGTAGCATGGCAGAGGCAAGCTTAAACTGTCACCTGGAGGCACAGCGTGTGGTGGTTGGGCTTAATGGCTGTCACCCCACTCTCCCCCGCCACACGCACCAGATCCTGCCACACTACCCCCACCGCCCCTGCTCCCTTCAGCCCCTGGTGAGGCGGCATGATAGGGGGGTGGGGGGGAGTTGAAGTAAAAATAAGGGCATGGCTGGTAGAGGAGCGACACACAGGGCACATGCAACATGGAATGGAAGACATCTGCGCTATAACACTTGGATTGAGCTCCTGATGTTACAGGAGGAACATTTATGCACAATCCCTGACGCCCCCCACCTTTTTCCCCATCTATCCTCCTTCTCTTCCTCCCCACCACCCTGCATGCCACCGCCCCTCCCGCCCTCTCCCCCACTCCTTCCCCATTACCCCGCAGCCAGCCCTCTTCCCCTCACCACTCGCCCTTGAGCGCACCTGGAGAGTGAAGGACGTGTTTGGGCGCAGCAGGGGTGTGGGAAGGGCACACGGGAGAGAGGGCCAGGAGGGGTGTGTGGAGGATAGGGGACCGATGGGGGGAAGGGAAGGGCCAATGGGGGGAGGAGAGGGGCCGATCGGCGGAGGGGAGGGGCCAATTGTGGGGGGAGAGGGACCAGTGTGTGGGGGAAGGGAGGGGCCAATTGATGGGAGAGAGGGGCCGATGGGGGGTGGGGAGGGGCCAATGGGGGGAAGAGAAGGGCCAATGGTGGGGGAAGTACTGGGAGTGCAGGAGTGGGGGAGGGCCAAGGTGGAGGAGGGGCGGTGGAGGGGGACGAAGGACCATGCAATGCCCCAGCGGGATGTGCGCCCCTGCACAAACTCCGTTGTGGCTATGCGCGGCACCTGGCATGGGCAGGGCACGGTGGGGGAATGAGGGGGAAGGGAAACGGTGGGCATGGGGCAGAGTTCTTCAATCACCTCAGGAATTTGTTTATATGCCCATTCAGATGTGCCGACATGGGTGGAAACTAAACAGGGGGCGAGCATGAGGGCTTAGAACATGCGTTGGTGGAGTGATGGTAGCACTGACATGCAGGGAGCGCAGGTGAGCGAGGAGATGCTTCAGGTTGACCTTCCTCCCCACCATGGACGTATACCATCTGTGCCATGCACCCATGCACCCATGCACCCATGCACTCATGCACCCATGCACCCATGCAACCATGCACCCATGCACCCATGCACCCATGCACCCATGCACCCATGCACCCATGCACCCATGCAGACACGTCAACCGCGCATACCATGCAGATGCATCATGCCCCTCAGGCAGCAGACACATACAGTACAGCAAGCAAGTGAAAACAAGCAGAGGGGGTAGAGACAAAGAGAAAGAGTTGGCCGTGTTGGTACACTCTTCCCACCAATCACACCATCCCCATGTCATGCCCATTTGCCCCACGCACCTGCCCTGCCCCGTACTCCATTCCCCAATGCCCCACCATGCACCTGAGACATCTGCAGCATTGCAACGAGCAGACATGATCATCATGATGCCAAGCAGCAGCACAACCAGGCTCTCCCTAAACAAACCACCCTCTCCTCCTCTTTCCACCCCAACCTTACAAACTTAACAATCTCCTCCATGCTCCAAGTTCTGAACCACAAACACAACCCAGCGCAAGCACTATGAATGACCGCACAAACACACTAGTGCGTCAAACGCCCCCCCTGGCAGCCCACCTGATGCGAGTGCGCAGGGCACAGCTGTCGTGCACGATGCGGAGAATGAACGCCAGCTCGCCACCCGCACACACCATCTCCGCCGCCGTGCCGCCACACGCCGTGCGCGGGTTGGCACCGGCCTGCTGCAGCGACTCGAAGAAGGGCGGGTTGCACATGCACGCGTCAAATGCCTCGCCCTCCTCAACCACTCCCACCAGTATTGCTGCTTCTCTACCTGCCGCCTCCTCCCCTCCCCCACCACCTTCTCCGCCCTCTTGTTCCTCCCCCTCCCCCTCCCCCTCCCCTTCCCCATCTTCACCCCCTTTCCCTTCCCCTTCCCCTTCCCCTTCCCCTTCCCCGTCAACCTCTCTGCTCTCGTGCCCTGCTCCTGCCTCCTCTGCTGTGCCCCGCTCTCCTGCACTCATCCCTTGCTCCTCCTTCTCATCCCCTCTCTGCTGTTGGCATCGCTCTTCTCTTGCTGCCACCACATCACCCACCACTTCCCCACTCCCCTGCTCATCATTCCTTTCTATTGTGCTAAGTTCCCTTGCTTCACTCCTCTCCTCGCCCCCACACCCTTCATTCCCCTCTCCCTCACCAGCTATCCTTGCCTCCCTTTGCACCAAACTCTCACTCGCTCCATTTTCCTCCGCCCTCCCCTCTCCCTCTCGCACACTTCCCCCCTCAGCGCCTCTTCTCAATCCCGCTCCTCCCTTCTCTTCCCCACTCCCTTCCCCATGGCTCATCACCACCCCATTCCCCTGCTTCTCCAGCCCGCTTTCCTCACTTGGATCTTCCCCATGCGCCCCATGCGCCCCATTCGCCCCATGCGCCCCGTTCACCCCTTTTTCACCCCCATCCGCATGCGCCCCATCACCTGTCACCAACCCATCCGCCTCTGTCTCCCCTCCCTCTCGCGCGTCTCCCCCACCTCCCTCCCCTCCGCGCCCACCGCGGGCGCCATGGCTGTGCAGGGGTGCACCATCACCCATGGGCGTGCTGTTCCCACCCCCCGCACGCCGTATGTCAATGAGCGGCGCCAGGTTGGGGTTGCGCGCGCGGTTGGCCCTTGCCCCCTGCAGGGCACTCTCTGTCACGTCTGGCGCAGGGGGGGGATGACAGCGGGAGGGCAGGCGGCAACGATAGTTGGGAATGGCAGAGGAAAGGGCGGAGGGGGAGGGTAGGTGAGCAGGAGTGGATGAGAGGGGAGAGGGAAAGAATAGAAGGTAAAGGTGTGGTGATGCATGAGAGTGAGAATGGAGCAGTGGAAGCATCAACGCATGCACACGTGTGTGGAGGCCGGTGTGGCAGTCGCACGCAATGAAGAGACGCCAGGCAGCATGTGCAGTGCGTGCAGCACACGGGGGGCATCGTACCAGTGGCGAGGAGTGTTTTGAGACGTCTCAAAACAAGGCATCGTACCAGTGGCGAGGAGTGTTTTGAGACGTCTCAAAACAAGGCATCGTACCAGTGGCGAGGAGTGTTTTGAGACGTCTCAAAACAAGGCATCGTACCAGTGGCGAGGAGTGTTTTGAGACGTCTCAAAACAAGGCATCGTACCAGTGGCGAGGAGTGTTTTGAGACGTCTCAAAACAAGGCATCGTACCAGTGGCGAGGAGTGTTTTGAGACGTCTCAAAACAAGGCATCGTACCAGTGGCGAGGAGTGTTTTGAGACGTCTCAAAACAAGGCATCGTACCAGTGGCGAGGAGTGTTTTGAGACGTCTCAAAACAAGGCATCGTACCAGTGGCGAGGAGTGTTTTGAGACGTCTCAAAACAAGGCATCGTACCAGTGGCGAGGAGTGTTTTGAAACGTCTCAAAACAAGGCATCGTACCAGTGGCGAGGAGTGTTTTGAGACGTCTCAAAACAAGGCATCGTACCAGTGGCGAGGAGTGTTTTGAGACGTCTCAAAACAAGGCATCGTACCAGTGGCGAGGAGTGTTTTGAAACGTCTCAAAACAAGGCATCGTACCAGTGGCGAGGAGTGTTTTGAGACGTCTCAAAACAAGGCATCGTACCAGTGGCGAGGAGTGTTTTGAGACGTCTCAAAACAAGGCATCGTACCAGTGGCGAGGAGTGTTTTGAGACGTCTCAAAACAAGGCATCGTACCAGTGGCGAGGAGTGTTTTGAGACGTCTCAAAACAAGGCATCGTACCAGTGGCGAGGAGTGTTTTGAGACGTCTCAAAACAAGGCATCGTACCAGTGGCGAGGAGTGTTTTGAGACGTCTCAAAACAAGGCATCGTACCAGTGGCGAGGAGTGTTTTGAGACGTCTCAAAACAAGGCATCGTACCAGTGGCGAGGAGTGTTTTGAGACGTCTCAAAACAAGGCATCGTACCAGTGGCGAGGAGTGTTTTGAGACGTCTCAAAACAAGGCATCGTACCAGTGGCGAGGAGTGTTTTGAGACGTCTCAAAACAAGGCATCGTACCAGTGGCGAGGAGTGTTTTGAGACGTCTCAAAACAAGGCATCGTACCAGTGGCGAGGAGTGTTTTGAGACGTCTCAAAACAAGGCATCGTACCAGTGGCGAGGAGTGTTTTGAGACGTCTCAAAACAAGGCATCGTACCAGTGGCGAGGAGTGTTTTGAGACGTCTCAAAACAAGGCATCGTACCAGTGGCGAGGAGTGTTTTGAGACGTCTCAAAACAAGGCATCGTACCAGTGGCGAGGAGTGTTTTGAAACGTCTCAAAACAAGGCATCGTACCAGTGGCGAGGAGTGTTTTGAGACGTCTCAAAACAAGGCATCGTACCAGTGGCGAGGAGTGTTTTGAGACGTCTCAAAACAAGGCATCGTACCAGTGGCGAGGAGTGTTTTGAGACGTCTCAAAACAAGGCATCGTACCAGTGGCGAGGAGTGTTTTGAGACGTCTCAAAACAAGGCATCGTACCAGTGGCGAGGAGTGTTTTGAGACGTCTCAAAACAAGGCATCGTACCAGTGGCGAGGAGTGTTTTGAGACGTCTCAAAACAAGGCATCGTACCAGTGGCGAGGAGTGTTTTGAGACGTCTCAAAACAAGGCATCGTACCAGTGGCGAGGAGTGTTTTGAGACGTCTCAAAACAAGGCATCGTACCAGTGGCGAGGAGTGTTTTGAGACGTCTCAAAACAAGGCATCGTACCAGTGGCGAGGAGTGTTTTGAGACGTCTCAAAACAAGGCATCGTACCAGTGGCGAGGAGTGTTTTGAGACGTCTCAAAACAAGGCATCGTACCAGTGGCGAGGAGTGTTTTGAGACGTCTCAAAACAAGGCATCGTACCAGTGGCGAGGAGTGTTTTGAGACGTCTCAAAACAAGGCATCGTACCAGTGGCGAGGAGTGTTTTGAGACGTCTCAAAACAAGGCATCGTACCAGTGGCGAGGAGTGTTTTGAGACGTCTCAAAACAAGGCATCGTACCAGTGGCGAGGAGTGTTTTGAGACGTCTCAAAACAAGGCATCGTACCAGTGGCGAGGAACGACCAGCCAAACATGGCGGCACCCAGCAGCGGGTAGATGAGGTTCGCCCCCGTGCCTATGTCCACTACCCGCACTGCTCCCCGCCCCCCCTCCGCTCCTCCTTCTCCCCCTCCCTTTCCGTCTCCTCCCGCCCCTCCCTCTCTTCCTCCTTCCCGCCCTCCTTCCCCCTGTCCCCATTGCGTTCTTTCCCCCCCTCCATCCTCCCCTCCGTCCGCCTTGCCTGCCCCTGGCGGCCCTGCACCTGCCCCAGTGCGCCTGTGCGCGCCACAGGCGGGGGGAGGGCCATGAGGGGAAGGCGGGAGCGAGGCGATGAGGTCGTGCAGCCAGAGCAGGTAGTTAGTGCGGTTGGGCACGGTGGGGCACAGATGCCCGTGCTCTATCCACCTGCATGTCATGGCGTGGCGTGGTGGGGTGGGGTGCAGAGCGGTCTTCACGGTTAATTCAGTTGAGGGGTTTTGATGCAGCAGGCACGGAGCGAATGAGCTACATGCATCATGCATTTCGATCAGGGATGAAATCAGATTGGAATCTCCTACGGCACCCACACGCGCACACAGACGCACAGGCAATGAGTACGCTGCACTTCCCCTTTCCCTGCGTGCATGAGCACAGACTCACACACCCAAGCTAGCCCCTCCCCTCTTCTTCCTCCCCTGCCATCCGCCACCCTCCCACCCTCTTCTGAAACGGTCTCCCTCCCCTCCCAGCTCGTCTCGCCCCCGTCCCTCCCCCGTCGCCCTTCCCATCGCCCCTTCCCTTCTGTCCCCCCCCACCGCACCAGTCAACGCCGAAGTCCGTGTGAAGCAGGGCGCGCGTCAGCTCGCGCGTCGCGTTGTAGTTGCTCCACATGAACCCCACCGGCCCGCCCGCCCGCCGCGCCGGCAGCACAAACGGCGCCAGCGCGGGGTGCTGCTCCGCCAGCGCGCGGAAGTCAGGCGGATTCTCCGCGTAACGGTTCCGCGGGTGCATGGCGCGCGCCTTCTTTGCGCCAGCCTTGCCCTTCCCCGCTCTCCCTTCCCCTTCCCGCGCCCGTTTGCCTCGCTCCTGTGCGGGCTCCGCTCCCCATTCCGGCGCTCCGTCTTCGCCTTCCCCACTTTCTTCCCCCTCCCGGGTATCATCCATTTCTCCGCCTTGGGTATCCATCGCCGTCGCAAGGATTCGCCTCTACAACGACCGGTGCCACAGGCGACGAGACGCGGTACGACGGACCGTGCGACAGGCGACCAAGTACGAACAGATCGCTCACGAAACGCGAACCTACCAGAATCGCTCGCGTGCGGGCGCCGCGACGGGAGAGGCAGTACGAGAGTGGGCGGAGAAGAGACGGAGTCGGAGGACGACGATGGACGCGAAGCAGTTGCTAGTGCGAAAGCCTTACCGTTTCTAGCTGGTGAAAGGAACTCGATACGGTATGCTGCAGGGGGAGGCCGACGTGGTGACAGACAGGTGGCCCCCAAAAAAGCCAAAGCTCAACCTCACACCCTCGCAATAAAACAAGTTACCATTTTCATTTCACTTTCTCCTTCCCAGCCCAAATCCACAGACCAGCAGAACACACACTGGCCAGGTTGCATGCATCTCCTTCAACATCTCATCTCTTCCATTGCTCATTATGACTCGTCTGCCCTGTCAGTCCTTCATAATCGCCTCTGCGCTCCGCGCTCCGCGCTCCGCGCTCCCCGTTCCCATCCCCCTCGCCGATGCGTGATTGAGTTTCTGCGTGCACCGCTTCCAATTCCTCCGACCAGACAGCCACCGGCCAGACCAATATACCTCGCTATTTCTTCTGCGCCGATCTGTAGATTCTTTCTGCGATCCCCCTTTCCGCCATGCGCGCGAGTAAGCGCGCGCGCACGGCGCCTTTCCCCCAGCGCCCGCGGAGCACGAGGCGTGCGGCTGCGGGGCGGGCAGGAAGCGAGCCGATCCCTCCGCACGCCGCAACCAGAGGTAGAAGCGCGCCCGTGCCCGAAACGGCACTGCCGCTTCCGCCATCGGCGCCCCCCGCCCTGGCGGAAGCGACTGACGCTGCGCGAGAAGCACGCGACGCGGATTTATCCCCGGGTCACAGCAGGAATTCAGACACGGAACGCGACGGCGGCGAGGAGCATGGCGAGGCCGACTCGCCCATGGCTCTCCTATCCGACGATGCGCTTTCGCTTGCGCTCTCCCGCCTGCCCACGCGCTTCGCGCTTTCTTCGCTCGCCTTCGTGTGCCGCCGCTGGCGCAGGCTGGCGCTCCGCCACTGCGTGCGCGAGCTCCGCCCATCCCCGTTCACTCTCCGCGCCACTGGCTGCTTCGCTTCCGCCGACGCCCTAGAGGATCTCGTCCGCCGATTCTCCTCGTCTTTGCGCGCAATTGAGCTCCGCCCGCCTGAAACTTCCGCCAGAGGGTCCAGGCGAGGCGGAGGAGGGCGGGGGAAGGGGAAATGCGCGGCGGAGGCGGATGGCGCGCAGCAGTGTTCCGTCGGGGACATACTGCGAAGCGCGCCGATGCTGGAAGAGGTGACTATAACGAGCTGTTTCGCTGGGTCGGAGGAAGACGGCGCAGCGGCCGCTATCACGGACGACTCGGCCTTGTCAGTGATCATCAGCAGCGCTGGCAGCACCAACACCACGGCCTCGGGCCCAGCAGTTGCTGCAGGGAGAGGCCATGGCACGCGCAGCAACGCTGGCGGCAACGGCGGCAGCAACGACGGCAGCAGCAGCGGGGGTAGCGCACGAAACAGCGGTGGCGGCATGGGCGGCGGTTTCGGGTTTAAGCGCGAGGCGTGGGCGCGGGCGGTGGGCGTGCCGATGCGGCCGTTGGAGTTTGTGCAAGGCGTGCTGCCGCGCCTGCCGCGCTCGCTACGGCGCCTCGACCTCCACGCGAACCACTTCCTTTCCGCGAGCACGTGCCTGGGGGGGAACGAGCCCGAGGTGGTGGGAGGCCGGGGGGGGGAGGCTTTGGGGGGAGGTCATGCGGAAGCAGCGGCGCAGAGAGGGGAAGGGACGGCGGAAGGAGACGACGAGGAGCAGGCGGGAGGCGGCGCAGGTGATAGTGCGTGTGAGCGCGCGCTGCCGTTACCCCAGCACGCCACTCCCCACGACTCCTTCCTCTACGCCGTCGCCTCCTCGCTCCCCGCACTCCGCGCTCTCGACCTCGACACACCCTCGCGCCTCTCCCACAACGCCGTGCTTCACCTGCCGCTCGCCCTACCGCGCCTCACGAGCCTGTCTCTCTGTTCCAACGCCATCACATGGCCCACTGTCTTCTCCCTGCTCGCCCTCGCACCCTCGCTCCGCTGCCTCTCCCTCGTCTCCTCCGCGCTCACCTCCTCCCCCTCTCGCCCCCGCAGACCCCCCGTTCCCCCCTCCGCCCCTCCGGGTTCTTCCGCCCTTGAATCCTTCCCCTTCCCACGGCCCACCCTTGCTGTGGGTGCTGCCGCTGCCGCCGCCACAATGGATCCACTGAGCACAAGCGGAGGTAATCCGTCTGCGCTGCTGTCCACCCTGCCATGCACCCTCCTGCCGCTCTCCTCCCTGCGTCTCTACACTTCGCCGCATCGCTCCGTGCAGTGGGACATGAGCCCTGCACACTCCCTCCTGCGCGCCCTCCTCGCCCTCCCCTCTCCGGCTGCCTCGCGTGGCACCATTCCCACCCCCCTTGCTTCCACCTCTCCTCCTGGCGCAGCCACCGCAGGAGCAGTTTGTGCACCAGAAAGTGGCTTCACTGCTGCCGCTTTCTGTGCGCCTATGGCTAGCAGCACCGCTCTCGCAACACAGCTGCCCGTGCTTGAAACGACCGGCGCAAGGCGCACAGCAGCAGCATGTGGGAGCACGGGGGGTTCAGGGCTCATGGCACGCCTAGCATCCAGAGCGGGCGCTGCTGGTGCGGTTGCAGCTGCCCCAGGCGGGCCCCGGAGTGTCGGGATAGGGTCAGTGGGTGCATGCTCCCTGCGCTCGCTGCATGCGCAGCACACCTTCAGTGCATCCTGGCAGAGCATAGGCGTGTGCTGCCATGGCCTCACAGAGCTCGACCTCTCCTTCCCCCCTCGGCCCCACTCCCCTTCCACATGGGGCGGAGCAGCAGCACAGGGGGGGCTTACAGGCATAGAGGAGATCGTGCTGTGTGGGACTCTCTCCATGCTGCCGCACCTGCAGCGCCTCGCTCTGCCCAGCGCCAACGACCAGGTGCTCACTCACGTAGCGCGTTGCTGCCCCCACCTCTCCTCCCTCCTCGCCCAGCCACACATCCTCGCCACCTCCCCCGATGCAAGCCTCCCCCGCTGCCCGCCGCAGCCGCATGTGACAGACGATGGTGTCCGGGCGCTGGCACATGGCTGCACGCGATTGGTCCATCTGAGCTTGGCAGGGTGTGTGCGCGTGGGGTCGGCAGTGCGGCAGCTGGCGTTTCACTGCCAGCAGCTGCGAGTGCTGAGGCTGGAAGGCAGCGCTGTGGACGATAAAGCTGTGCTGGGAGCACTCTTTGGTGGAGCCTGGAAGTGGCATGCTCTTCATCCCTCTTCTTCTTCGGCTCGTGCTGGTGCTGCTGCTAAAGGGGCTGGTGGTGGTGCAAGTGATGCTGCGGGTGTCTCTGGCGGGCGTGGTACCAGTGGCGTGGTGCAGCTGCTGCTTCCTAGGCTTGTGCTCCTGGACCTGTGGGGTTGTGCTTCTGTCACCTCTGAGTTGCTACTCGCCATTCTGCAGGCAGCAAGAGAACTGGCAGCAGCAGCAGCAGAAGCAAGGAGTGGAAAGAAAGCAGGAGAGAAAGAAGTCGTGATTCCTGAAGGGGCACTAAATATCAAGGATCATGAGAGGCCTCCAGGAGGAAACAAGCACACAAAACGTGGAGGGGAAGAGGTGGTGAAACGCAGATCCAATGCTGGTCAGCTGCAGCTTCAGCTGCGGCGCCTAATGGTGTCTCCAAGTGTCCTCAAGGGATCCAAAGGGAATGGCAAGGGGGGGTTAAAGAATAAGGCTGATGTGAGTGTTGAAGGGGTAGATATTACACTGGTCTTGCAAGGCTTGAAGGACGAGTTGCCTTCACTGACGGTAACTTGTGGAAGAACAGCAAAGGACTTGCTGCCATGGGATGGTTTCTTTCATTGGAAGCAACCTTGGGATGAAGCAGTGAAGCAGTGAGCAAGTTGCTGGTGGTGGAACAGGGCCTATTTTTGGATTTTAGGTACTCTGATTTCCAGAGTAGTTTTTTTCCCAACTCTGAAATCTAGGGTTGTTCCTGCGCCTTACTCTGATTTGTCAGAGTAACCCTATACTTAAAAAAAAAACCAGGCACGTCAGAGTAATATTTTTCTCTACTCTGATGTTAGTTAAGTTTGGTGTACCATGACCTTAATAGGTTTTTGTTACGCCTTTTGTACTTGCATTGTGTTTCATTTCCGCGTCGCCCACGTTTCCCCCCTCACTGCGATGTTTCAGAGTGAGGTGTTGGCGGCACCGATAATCTGACTAAGAGCGTGTCTGATCTGAAGTGAAATTTCGACGGATGTACAGTTCCGTCGGGGAATGCTGGCAAACCTCAACCCTCGGACCGAGCGTTCCGACCGTCAGGATTCCTCGACGTCCCTCAAAGTTTCGTCGGGAAACGTCGACGTTCACTTCAGACATAAAGAGAGAGGGGACTGGCTGGCATCGTGCGCTGGTTGGGAAAGTTGTCAAACTACGGTAGCCAATCATCGCTCATATTGCCGCCAACACACGACAGAAATCAGGAGAATGATCTCGACGATTCGGGGAAAACCCGCTAAACGCAGGGGGGGGTGGGGAGGGGAGGGGGGCGGGGGAGGGGGGCCGGCAGGTTTTCCTATACAGAGTAAATTCGGTCCCCGAAAAAAAAACCCAGAGGCCTCAGAGTAAACTACAGCATAACTCTGACAAATCAGAGAAATCGGAAGTCCCAAAAAAATTACCGTCACCCCCCGGATATACCCCCATGGGGGGCAATAATAAAACAGGTTTTTTCAAGGGGGTGGGCTTATAATCGAGTAAATTTATAAGCGCCGGCGTTTATAAAATGACATTCATATTTTTTATATTGTTTAACACCAAACTGTAGGTCTCGTGCTTGCCCTTTCAATCGAGTCGAATTTACATGGGGTCGTCTGTGAAATTCTCGCGCGCGCTGGGAGACACACCCAATCTGACTCACATCCAGCTCCTGACAGCTCCTGCTGACTGGACCCGCATCCAGTGCAGGGTCCGAATGTGAAGGGAACCGAATCTGCAACATATCTGCCTGCTAAAGTAAAAATCATTACAACGTTTTGTACACATTTCAAATTTTAAAGTTTACGTGCGCTTATAATAAAACTAGTTTTTTCAGGGGGTGCGCTTATAATCGAGGAGGGGATATAAGCGCCATATGCCAATTAGAAGCGCCAGGCGCTTATCCTAGGGTGGCGCTTATATCCGGGGGGTGACGGTACCCAGCGGGTACAGAGTTACTTTCAAAAATGACTCTGATTTTCAGAGAAATAGAGTAATTTACTCTGAAAACGTGAGGCCTGTGGTGGAAGTGGAGTGGGTGCGGGGTAAAGCCGGTGTACAGCATTGGTTTTTTGTACTTGATTTTGGTTAAAATTTCTAACAATTACCGTATACAGATAGATGCTTTTAGCTTTCAAGTAAAGTAATACAGACGCTTTCAGCTTTCAATGCAAGTATGGATCAAAGTAAACATTCAAGTCTTCAGTATACACAGTACAATATCTTACGGAACATTAGCATGTCCTAGAGCATGTTGCTGCTACTCAGTAGGATAGATGCCACTAAGGTTGCGCTGCGGCAAATAATCAAAGCATAAGTAAGGTACCAGCAGAGCACAAAAAAAAAGTGTTAGCAATCAGGCAGAAGATGAAAGCAGTTGTTGGGAACAATAAGTCTTAAAGCGCCTCTGTCGTGTCGAAACTCAGGACACAAGCGAAGCAGTCCAAATCGAAGCATCGCGAGTCAACCCTCGGAGGTTAGGGTAACCGCCTGGAGGTTACGGGAAGGTCAAAAGTCACGACCTTTGACTTGACAAATACAGCGCGACAGCAAGGACACACAACTGACTCGACATTGAGCAGTTGCCCGAGTCGCACTGTATCGAATCGCAACAGCAAAACAGTTTAATTATATCTATTCGTATTCCTTGTACTCTTATATAAAGCCTTGTATTTGCTTGTTTTAATCAACTCACTTTGCCCTCACATACTAGCGCAAGGTGGTTCAAGGACTTTTCATTCAAACGCTTCCGCTATTACAATCCTACTCAGACTTTAACTCTACAAAGATCCTAGGGCATCTCAGCCCAACATGGTATGAGAGCAGATAGAGTTCAAAGTTACTTTTTCTCTTAATACTTAATACAAGGAAGACATGTCTACTAGGAAGGAGAGGAGCTCCTCCAATGGTTCTCCAGGCACTACCCCTACTCCACCTCCTGTCTCTGGTCTACAGACGGAAGAAGGGACTACCACGAGACCAGCAGCTGGGTCTACGGAAACGCCCGCAGGCTTCGATCCAAGCATGATGGAGAAATTCTTCTCCTTCATGTCCTTCTACGAGCAGCACCAGCAAGGAGTACCTGCGCAGTCAAACAACAGCAACAACAACAACGTAGCTCCTATGAGTCTCGACAGCTCATCCTACGCACGCGGAATTCAACAACAACAACAGCAGCCTACCTTTGCGCCGTACGAGCCCCAGCGTGGCTCCGTCAGCTTCATGCCGCAACCGCAATCTGCACCGGGACAAGAAAGGGCATTGGGCGCATTACAAGTTCAATCGCAATTCGCGCATGTTCTCAAGCTGCAAACGACAAAGCCTTTCGACGGAAAAGACTTGTTCACCTGGTCGTTCGAGTTCGAACTGATGATGGAAGGAGCACAGATTCTCGGCTTCTTCGACGGGTCCCTGCCATATCCAACAAACGGGACACAATATGAGAAGCAGCAGTACACCTATCAATCAATGATGGCGTACACGATACTGCTAAGAAACATCACCCCGACCCAGCAGCAGAACATCAGGACTTACCGAGGCTACGGCAACTCCGCGGAGCTCGCGTACAACCACCTCAAGAACCTGAATCAAGCAACAGACAGCGTAAATCAAAGCAGGTTAATGGCGCAGTTGACAACAATTGAAATGAAACCAGGCGAGAAAGGCATGGCTTATATCAGCCGCTGCCGCGAACTGCGCGACAAGCTTCTTCGATGCGGAGGGTCGATTTCAGAAGACGCCTTTGTCACGGTGGTCATCGGCGGTCTCGGCCCCCACTGACGCTCCACTCGCGCCATATTACGAGCACACGGGAGGATTTCCGAAGCGGCACTCTGCGCCGAAATTCATGCCGAGCAGCAGGACATGGACATGCAAGAAGAAAGACACAAGAAGAAAACATTAGCACCGGAGTTTGCGTTTCACACTCAGCGACGATACAACAACAACAACAATCGACAACAGCAACAAGTGAAGACGGTACCTCCGTTTTGCCACATCTGCAAGACTTCGGGACACCCTCGCACGCACTGCCCGTCTCGTCAGACAACACCACAGCAACAACTCCGGCCTTCAAGCTCCCAAGTTGCCTCAACACAAGCAAATCCGACGACCTCAATCCAAGCTTCAACGACTCCAACAGGACAATCTGCACAAGGAGCAAGAAACATTGTCAATTGCATGGTGAGGATAACTGATTCGTGCACAACCGAATCACCACCTCACTACTCACCGGAAGAAGAGCTCGACAACAGGACGCCTCGCCGCGAGTCACTCCAACCGAATCCGACGTACGCCGCCATCGCTCAAAGCGAACCGTCCGGGCAAGACACCTGGTTCTTGGACAGTTGCTGCGGACAACATATGTGCTCCTCGGGACGCTTCGTTCAACGCGAACATCGACTCCAGCGAGAAGTAGTCATCACGGTCGCCAACAACCAGAACCTGCGCACACGACGACAAGGAGTAGTTCAGCTTCAATCAAGAGAGACAAACGTCATACTGCACATGTCAAAGGTACTCATCGCAGAAGGACTCGGTTATAACTTACTGATTGTCAGCCAGCTGATGGCGAAAGGCATCCACTTGGAAGCCGACAGCATCACCCAGGAGTTTAAACTGTACCACGGGAAGGGCGGCCTCTACATCGGAAGAGCAGTTTTGAAGAACAACGTCTTCGTCCTCGATTTCGTCCCCGACCTTGGCACTGCAGATAGCGACGCCATCGTCAACTTCGCCGATTGGACACATCCCCCGGATCTCAATCCCGACTTCAGCCCGGGAGGTTTCTGGTACTCGCACACCACCCCTGAAGCAGAACGAACACGAGCGTTAGCGACAATTCAACAAACGGCAGTAGCAGAGACAACATGGACAGCAGCAGAGACAACATCGGCAGCAGTAGAGACAACATCGGCAGCAGCAGAGACAACATCGACAGCAGCAGAAACATCATCGGCAGCAGTAGGACCAACGACACCAGTCATCGTCGACAAAGGACCACCAACACCCGCACAGCAACTGAACCCGACTCAACGAGAAGTCCACAGAAGCGCTAATGTCGTCGCCAGCTTCTACTCCAACTCCGACGCGTATCAACGCTCACCCGTACATCGCGCTCCTGAAGACATCTGGCTCGCACGCACAGGACATCCAAGCAACACAGTATTAAATAACACAATACGAGCAGGAGTCCTCGACAAAGATTCGCTACTACTACTCGACGGCAGAGAACTTCAACAGGCACGAGGAACTTGCCTCATCTGCCCCGAAGCC